ATAAACTTCACTATTAGTTCTACAAATTCGTTAATTAATCCATTTTCAAGAGCGAATTTTAATCCACTTTTTGCTATGCCAAATCCATGAGTATATTCTTGCTTTTGAGTAACACAGGCATGAATGCTAGCTTGATATGTATTGGGTCCGCGAATAGCTATGACTTGATTCATCTCTTCATTTGTATCAAATTCCATGATATTAGCAGCGTCAGTGCCTGTAATTATAGAACAATTTGATATTTGCATTGGATTGGTATATCAACAATTAGGTATGAGTTTAATATCAAACTTAGCATTGCAAGACATCTTGAAAACAGCAAAAAAATGTCAGCAATAAAAACCGTTAGAGATAATATATAGACAAGTACAAAGATATGTGTTATTCTTTAAAAGAATAACATAATGAGAGTAACTATAATTGTGTCGATCAAATAAAGAAACACGCCAAACTTCAAGAATGTTGTCACGGTTAACCATATTAATAATATTTTTAAGCGAAGCTTGCAATGCATTGTATTCATCTTCAAGGTATCCTTCTGCATATTCATGAGCATTAGGAAACTACAAAAATATTAACTCAAGTAAAAAAAATAATGAAGTGATGACTATAAAATCATACCAATGTAGAATTATTTGAGACTTCATATAAATATACACGATATAATACACTTTGTGATATTTGAGCATTTTGCATTGAAGCAGATTCTAATGTCAAATATTTCTTGATTGCATTTTGAACAGGTTCAAAAAAGACACTTTGGATACTAGGAAGTCCCCGGGTAGGTAAAGCATTTTTATACTCTAATAATCGTTAGTATTTTGCCTCACGTTCAAGTTTTGCTTGAATAGCTTTAACTAAATTAAGAAGTGATGTTTTTGCATTAACTTCAGTTTTAATGAGCCCATTAGTGCTTTTTACCCTTTGCGTGCTTTGCATACTAGCACAAAAGGATGTAAATATATAGATCTTGGCCCATGATTGTCGAGATTTCCAAAGTTGATTCAAATAATTATTGGCTGCGGGATATTGATTTAATAGCTCTTCTCAACAATGCTCCAGCTCTGCTATACTACAACTATTGCGACATTGATACCAGTATCGTAAGAAATCATTATAAGAACTGCCAAGTTTTCGAGCCAATTTTTTTGTAATATTTGTATGAATATGAAAGATACAATAATTATGTTTTGTCATAGGAAAAGTTTGGCTAATAGCAGAGATAATAGCCAGATCTGTATCAGTAAAGATCACTTTTGGAGGCAGATTGTCAGTCGCTCTTAAGATACAATTTAAAATCCACTTATATGAACTAACTGTCTCATCTTGAACAAGTGATTGCGCTACAATCCTCGTTTGATGATGATTATTAGCAATTACAAAAAAGTTCAATAACATATTATAGGCATTTGTTTTTGCAGTGTTATTATTAACTACCATATCATGATAATGTTTCCACAATTCTACTTGAATTGGTGACATCCAAAAAAGTCGTGAAAGATTATTGTTGATACCCTCAAACTCAATATAAATAGCCCATCCCGGCTCTTGCTCCTTTTGTTCCATAAGCCATTTTACCATATTCGACGCATTGTTCTCTCTATTATTTCTCATTTGATTTTTATACTGACATATAGCATTATGCAAATCACGATCATACAATGGTTGGTTGAGAAATTTTTTTGTAATATATCGACGTTGGGCTTTTGTTCCAAGACCACATTACTGAGTTAAAAACTTAATTTCATCAAGAACTTCTTGTGAAAGCATACGTAAACTTGGGGCAAACTCTTTCTGGTGTGGTGCAAGGGGTAATTATAAGCCTCAACTAACTTATTAATAACAATAACTATGGTATCAGAATTTTTTCGGCATCCTACATTAAGCTGCCACTAGCATCCAACTTTTTTGGATTCCCTATCCCTTTGGTCTTCACTAACAATCTTTTTTTTAGATTGACACTCTTTAGAATTTTCACAAACAAAGTATCGTCGATTTATAACACCAGTATTATTACGCTCCATTCGAAATTTTATCGCCTTGAACCCAATTTCTGCTTCATATTTTTTTAATATATTTTCTAGAGATTTCCAACTAGGAAATTCAGCACTATCTTTAATTGTAAAATCATCAGTTTCGTTAGCACTATCAAATTCGTCATTGTCTGGTTGTTTATGAGCTGAATGCATAAATTCTTGGTTATCACAACATTGCTCTTGTGCTACATACACGTGATCTTTTAGTTAGATAATTAGTTAAAGAAAGATCGATAAGATCAATTGATGCAAAAATACTAAAAAATTACAAGTAAGTGCTAATTTACCATCTCCTTCACCATATGTATAAGTATATAAATTAAAAA